AGGCCACTTGGGAGACCGAGCGGGAGATACAGAGCAGATATCCACACCAATTTGAGACTCCAGGTATGTTTCTAGACCCGTTCGAGGATGAACGTCTATTTAAGAGAAGGAGGATGTACCGACCCAGCCAGTCATTTCGAGAGTTATAGCCTCGTTTCCCCCATTTCTGTTTCTTTTGTGCTTTACAGCTGTATTATGTCTTACCGAGTTGGTTGGTTCGGGTCCGGAGTGGTTTTGGAGTGAATTGATACACTTAGTCTCTTAATTAGAAGCTTAAGTTGAAAAAGTCGATCGGACATCGACTTGTGGGAAAACGACCTTGGACTTGAATTTTTATGGTTCAGTTAGCTCCGTTAGGTGATTTTGGACTTAGGAGTGCTTCCGGAATGTGATTTGGAGGTCCGTAGTAGAATTAGGCTTGAATTGGCAAAAGATGGAATTTTGGCAATTTTTCGCCGGCAACGAAAATTTTGATATCGGGGTCGGATTGGATTTCTGGAAGTTGAAATAGGTTCGTGGTGTCATTTTTGACTTGTGTGTAAAATTTGAGGTATATCGGACGTGGTTTGGTAGGTTTCGGCGTAGTTTGTAAAATTTGGAAGTTTAGAAGTTCCTTAGGCTTGAATCTGGGTGTAATTAGTGTTTTAATGTTGTCTTGAGTGATTCGAATGTTCGACTAAGTTCGCATGGGGTTATATGACTTGTTGGTATGATTGGTTGAGGTCCCAGAGGCCTCGGGGTGATTTCGGGTGGTTAACGGCTTGATGGGAGTTAAAGAATTGCAGCTGAAGCTGCTGCTACTGGTGTAACCACACTTGCGGAGTGGGAACCGCAGGTGCGAGCCCGCAGAAGCGAAGGAGGAGCCGCAGCTGCGGCTAAAGAGGATCTGGGCAGAGGACGCAGGTGTGATGGCACTCCCGCACCTGCGATGGTCGCAAAAGCGGATTTAGGGCCGCAGGTGCGAGTTTGGACCGCAGGTGCCATGTATTTCCCGCACCCGCGAAGACCGCAGATGCGGTCATTGGATCGCAGGAGCGGAGACTGAGTTTAGGGATTTTTCCGCAGAAGCGGGGAGTTGCCTGCAGATGTAGAAATGGAGTCGCAGGTGTGATAAGTCTCGGCAGAACCTATAAATAGAACACTTCGAGATTTTTTACCATTTTCATCATTTTGAGCTCGGATTTTGGGGATTTTGAGAGAGATTTCGGAGTAATCACTGAGGTAGGTTCCTTGTGCCTATTTATCTTCAATAATGGTATTTTCCCACTATTTTTCCACCTAGTTGGTGAGTGTTTGAGGTGAGATTTGGGAGATTAGGGCTTGGGAATTGGAGAGTGAATTTTGGGGTTTTGGAGGGGAAATTGAGGTCGGATTTTGATAAATTTGGTATGGTTAGACTCGTGAGTGAATGGGCTTTTGGGTTTTGTGACTTTCGCCGGGTTTCGAAATGTGGGCCCAGGGGGGCGGGTTGAACCGATATCGTATTTTGGACTATATTTTAGGAGTTTTCTTGTAGAATTGATCCTTTTACCCAATATTGATTATCTCGTACTGTTTGTGGCTAGATTCGGGGCATTTGGAGGCCGATTCGAGAGGCAAGGCCATTTCGGAGTAGGATTTCTGCGTGGTTGAGGTAAGTAACAGTCTTAAATCTGGTTTTGAGAGTATGAAACCCCGAGAATTTGTATGATGTGAATATTTGAAGGTGACGCACATGCTAGGTAACGGGTGTGTGAGCGTGCACCGCGAGGGATTGTGACTTAGTCCGTCCAGTGAGGCTGTAAAGTCGAATAGCCATTGTTATTATTTGTTTTTTCTTGTCTTTGAGCAATTGACTGCCTTTCATGTTAAAAACCATGCTTAGGCCATATGATATCACTGTTGGGACCCGCAACAGTCGAATACTTGTTGAATTGACTGCTAATTGTTGTCCTGTACTCAGTCACATTCTCCCTTGTGTGTTATATCTCCGTTCTCTCTCATTTCTTGTTAAAACTTGTTGTATTCTCTGTTTGGGCTAATTATTATGAAATTCTGTGAGCCCGAGGGGCTGGAGAGGTTAGTGACTGAGATAGGGCCTGAGTGTCGAGTTGCAAGCTGTGAGGTATNTCATTTTTATGAAAAACTCCGGTTATTTTAAATGGCTTAAATCATTTCTGTTAAATTATGAAAGTGTTTTGGAAAGGTCGGCTTGCCTAGTATCACGATAGGAGCCATCACGACTGGTTAGGTTTTGGGTCGTGACAGTGCAGGATCTGACAGGTTCATTGATGATCACCTTGGCGCATAGACGCACCTGTTGAGGAGACTTTACGTGAGTTGCATTTCAGGCTACGCATCGCAGCCCACCGAGTCTCCATTGTACTATTTATTTTATTCTGTCTTATTACATTCGGGACAGGTGTTGTATTATTATTGTACTCCTTAGAAAATGCTCATGCATTTATAACATCGGGTTTTGGGGGTTCCTACGGGTTATTTGTTATTGTAGTTGTATAAATCTTATCACTTACTCTGTAAAAATCTATTTCATACGAGTTAATTAAGGCAAAGTTTTGATTTCAATTACGAAAACGTGTAAGTAAGTTAATAGATCACCGTTGGCTTGCCTGACGGCGATATTAGGTGCCATCACGACCTTTAGCGGATTTTGGGTCGTGAGACTATATATGCAATATAATATTTTTGTACTTGGAGACATCCGTACTTGTTTGTCCGTACAAGCACGAAAGCACATTTGCAAACACTTTAAGTATTAACTCGAAACATGTTTTTAGAGAAAGTCCCTCAAGAAGAGTAAGTTTTAATCGACTTACATCTCTTTTCCTTTATTAACATTCACAAGCTTTCAATCCTCTTGCATCGTTTCAATGTTGATTAAAATGCTCAAAAATCACCAACAAGTTGATATCTACAATTAGATATCCTAATTACATCAAAATATGACCTAAAATATTTATCAATAACCATTTATGGCTCATAAGTTGGCTACAAGCCTCCAACAACTCAAATCGCCGAATAGAGTCACATGCTAGTCCATTCAACTTCATTCTTATATTTTAATACCCATTCGAAGTCATTAATAATACTACATCAATTGTTTAATGCCACAAAGTTATTATCCATCGTCTTCCATAATCAACACTTGCAAAATATACAATTCGGGCGATTACTTAGTTGATCACCTATAACTTTTTCTAACAAATAGTTCCATAGGTTCATTGTATTCATCAATTTCATCGCCAAGATTACTATTCATTTTCTCTCTTATTTTCTCAAAAGTACTATTCATGCCATGAACTAGAGTTTTATAATCCAATCTTTCAACCATTAAAACTTGTAACAAATGCTTCAAATACTTTTAATTACTCATAATAAACGAGGTTGAAGCATTGGAATTACCGCTAGAAGATCAATCTTGACAAATCACAACTTTGGTGATTTTTGTGTTCTTGAGGATTTGATGATGAAATCTAGTATTTGGTTGTAAGAATGATATTAGAATTCATGTATATTGAGTAAGAATCAACCCAAAATATCATTAACAATTTACCTTAGTTGGTTGGACTTGATTTGAGCTTAAATTCGCCACTTTACCTTAAGAACCCTAACCCCCAATACTCAAAATACTCTCTTCCCCTGATTTTGTATTTATAGGCCCAGATTTCTGGGTCTTGGATGCGGCCCCGGATGCTTCGCATCCCCAGTTCACTCCTCTTCGAAGTTCGGATGAGGACTCGGACACTATGGCAATACTTCACTGCCAGCCTTCGGTAATTTGATCATAACTTCTTGTAGGAATATTCAAATGACAAACGGTTTGAAGCGTTAGAAACTAGACTCGAAGACCTCTCATTTGATAGGTTGTCCCCCACGTAGCTTCTTATATATATATATATATATATNTCAACTTGACTTGGACTTAGGGCTATCTATAGACCTCACATCACTTATAATATGCATTGTACACTTATTATCATATCCAATTAATATCCATCATATTAATAGTCCTCGTTTGCACATAAAATAATATAATTAGCACACATCAACTTTCTTAATAGAGTTTAAGCACTTCAAAATTTTTCGGGGTGCTACACAATACCCCTATACATAAGTTAAAATAATACTAAAAGTGAATTCTTCCCCCATAAAAAACTTAGTTCGGAATACATGAGATTCTGACAAAAAAATAAAGAAATAAAAGGTATAATTAGAAAGCACTTGAAATAAAAATGATATCAATTTGAATAAAAATCTTAAAAAAGAAGAAGATAGAAGTATCATGTTTTGAAGGATTTATTATTCACTTTTAGTATTATTTTAATTTTTATATATGAGTATTGGGTCAGGTGGCCCAGGTTGAGTTGGGTCATCCCTATTTTAAGCAAATTATTATTTACTAGACTGAAAAAAATAAAAAATACAAAATAAAAAAATACTACCGATCACTATGATTTTTGTGTGAGTTAATAAAAGTTGTATAATTTTTGTGTGAGAAAACATAATTATATGACTTTGGTGAAAAAAATCATAGTTATATGATTTTTGTGTGAGAAAATAAAGTTATATGACTTTGGTAAAAAAAAAAATTATAGTTATATAACCATTTGTGAAATTTACCATTTATAGTCTTTCTTTACATCAAAAGATGTTTAACTACAGCTACATGAACAATGACAATTTATATATTCGCCCTTAAACGTAAAATTCAGTAACAATTTATATAACTGGCTCCAACATGCTTTAAATTCATGTCATACTAATTTTTTAAAAACTAGACAATTTTGATTTCAAATTTGCATTTTTGAGCAAACTAGATTAAGTGAATAAACATTATAAATTTATTCCTTTTTTCTCCCAATAAAGGAATTAGGTTATAAAACTAGCCGTTAGAATTCAGAACACCCTATTTGCGCAGCCCACCCTAACGTTCAAAAAAACTCTCTTTTCCCAAAATCTCTATATATATTCTTCACAAAATCCCTTTATATTCTCAATCAAAATCTCTCTCAACCCTTCTCTCTTCTTCTTCCCCTTCAGTTTCTAAAAAATAATCAAGAAGAAGAAGAAGAAAATACTCTTCAAAACAAAAAAAAATCCTCTCTTTTTTCTGTTAAAAAAAACATTCTTGAAATTAGAAAGCGTTAAAAATTTAGATGGCTACAATGAACAGTGGGAACAACAGCAATACTCCGGCAACTGCTCAAGTTATGCCTTCTCTTAAACAGACATTGCCTACTGCAAAAACTGTTGATACCCAGTCTGTTCTTAAAAGGTATATATTTAAGAATTTATTGGTGTAAAATTAATTTTATGCATCTGGATATGTTAGGGATGTGATATTTGTTGTTATGCGTTTAATTTCTTTATCTGCGGTTGGTTTTTGCAAAGTTTTGAATCCCCTGTGTAAATCGTTCAGTTTGATGTTCAAATTGTGCTATTTCTGCAAATAGTTAGGGTTTGATGATTTATGTATCCGGGTATGTTTGTGATGTGGTTCTCGTGTTTATGTATTGCATTTCTAATTTTCCTGATCTGGATTATAAGATGATTACTGATTTGATCCGTATGTGGATCAGTCATATCGATTTTTAAACTATCAGTCATATAGATTTTAAAATATATGTTATTTTCTTGAAATAACTATGCCTTGCTTGAGCCAAGGGTCTATCGGAAATAGTATTTCTACTTTTGCAAGGTAGGGGCAAGGCTTTGTACGCACTACCCTCCCCAAACCCCAGTTGTGGGATTACACTGGGTTTGTTGTTGTTGTTGTTGTTGTTGTCGTCGTTATTTTCTTGTAATGTTTTTATTAGCGATTTATTGAAATGGTGGATTTTGGTAGTATATACCTGTATGTTTGATGTGGTTTTTAGTGCTCATGTATTTTGGTCTCTTGATCTGAGGTTTTGGGGATGTTTTTGATCTGTATGGTGAATGATTGATTCAGTTAGTAGGTAAGTTAGCTAAGATTTTTAAGGGGTTTTACTCACAAGATATATTTTATAAGCTATGTTGCGCGGACTCTCCAAAATGTTGCTGCACCCATGTTGGATTCTCCAAAAATGCAACACGCACCCAGCGACATTTTCGGAGAGTCCGGGCAACATAGATTATAAGTGGTGTTTTTCCATTGATGTTGAGTTACTGGTTTCTTCATATGAAGTTAGTAGTTTCTGAATACCATTTCTAGGGGAATAGCATGATATAAGTTGAGCTTAAATGAAGAAGTGAGGATTCATATAGCCGAACCTAACTTGTTTGAGACTAAGGCGCTCTTGTCATTATTGTCATTCTTGTGTTTGTAGGGAAAGAGTGGTGTTTCTAGTATTTGATTTTGGTACGTTACTGTTGCCTGAATGTATAAAGATTGATGTGTCTAAGTAGCTCCTGAGAAGAGTTGATCTGTTTAGGCTATGAACTCATGACTCTCAGCTTATGTTGCATAAGTTGGGATATCAATATTCCTTGTTTCTCAAATTTTTTGCATACAATAGTTAAATTTTTGAGCACTTATATGTTTCAGTGTTTATATTTCATGTTATTCACTATTCTGATGAAGGTTTTTGTTGTTGTATATAATCAGGTTGCAGTCTGAATTGATGGCTCTAATGGTGAGGAATCTAAGATATCTAATACTTTTCATTTTTACTTCTTTTTGAGAAATATCCTTTAACTTAAAGTTGTTTCAATTGATATTTTAGATGAGTGGTGATTCTGGGATATCTGCATTTCCTGAAGAAGACAACATATTTGTTTGGAAAGGGACAATAACTGGTAGCAAAGATACAGTTTTTGAAGGAACAGAATACAAGCTCTCTCTTTCATTTCCTGCTGATTACCCTTTCAAACCACCAAAGGTTAAATTTGAGACTGGTTGCTTTCATCCTAATGTTGATGTCTATGGCAACATCTGCTTAGACATTCTTCAGGTAACAGCTCGACGGTCTCATCCACAGCCAGACGCAGCCTTTGTTTAGTTGTTTCATCTGTACTTGGTATTTTCGACACAAAACATAGATATACAATGAGTTCTGATGTGTGGAAAACTATATTATTACAGGATAAGTGGTCATCTGCTTATGATGTGAGGACTATACTTATCTCAATTCAGAGTTTGCTTGGAGGTTTTTGCCTATGCAATTTTCTGACATTTTCCACTTTGATATTATCATCTTAAATATTCTCTAATATCTTTTCTTGATATCCTTTTCTGAATGTATCAGAGCCAAACATAAGCTCACCTCTAAACACTCAGGCTGCAGCTCTTTGGTGCAATCAAGAAGGTAAATCCTTAAACTTCTTGTAAGTTCAAATTATGAGTATAACTTAGCAACTGTTCTTTTTAACAAGTCATTGCCTTTTTCTTTCTTTCTGCAGAATACAGAAAGATGGTTGAGAAGCTATACAAGCCTAGTGCATAGCTAGCTTACTAGTGCAGGATTCCATTTTTCTTCATATGGAGCAAACTTAGTTGGAACTGTTTCATTGCTATTTTTTTCTTGTTGATGATATTGGATAATCCTCTCTTATGAGAAAGAGGAAACGCTGTACTTTTATGTGATATAGAGTATCATTTCAAATTTTATCTCTTCTTTCTCCAATTCCTTGGTGTGTTATCTAAATACTGAAATCATGTCAAAATGCTGAAACTAAGCCAATATGGGGACAAGACAGTATTGTTAACAGATCTTGATAGGATATGTGTAAATTGCATTGTCTACCATGGCCCCTTCTTCTATCTGATCAATGGACTAAGATTCTGATCTTCTATAGCGACTTTCGGACCATTCCATTCATCATCTTCTTTATCCCAACTTCTCCCTCGGTCACTGAGACGGTTTACTCAACTCCATCTTGGAATCACATTGCCTCTCATTAGCGAGGCAACGGAGGATTTCACCATGCAATCGAGTTTTGATTTAGGCATGTCTTTTGCGCCAAACCTCTGCCAACCGGAATTAGATTTGAAATGAGTACAAAAGGAGTATTGGTAATGCGACATGAGAACTCTCCTCTCTCAATTCAGAAAAGACACTACAATGCGGACCTAAGCCCTGATTGTGGAAGGTATTATAGAGTCGGTATCTTCCATGGCCTTTAGCAGTTCAGTTTCACTATTTCTCAGGAGTAGTTTGTATTGCTAGTAGGCAGAAAATAAGTAGTGTCTTCATTTCTGGGTGTGCCATGGGAATACTTCACGATAATGGAATGCACGCATTAATAATCTATATTATTATCTTAGTAAACAGTAGCATATCAACATAGTAATGAAACAGTTCGTTGCTAAGTTGGAACTTAGTAGAATTGTTAAGCCGACCACCAGGTCGTGAAAATTACCGAGATAATTCTTTTTTCCATAGTCTTGGGGCTATTTACAACTAGCCAATTAAGTAATCTCATGTTTGCACTGCATCTTTGATGCGGTTATCGATTTTGCCGAGAGGTCACAATTGCCGCGAGCAAGACGAGGCTTTTTGTGAGCGACATCCACATTGAGAATTCATATATATCCATATTGTCAAGGCATTCACTATTGGAACAAGCTTAAATTGAGCGACATCCAAATTGAGAATTGATATAGCCAACTATTGGACTGAGACAAGCTTAAATTGAGCGACATCCAAATTGAGAATTGATATAGCCAACTATTGGACTGAGACAAGCTTAAATTGAGCGACACCCAAATTGAGAATTGATATAGCCAACCCCAACTTACTTGAAATTGATGCGTAACAGTAACAGACGGTTAAACAAAATAATAGGTACAGGGATGGTTATTCATATGCCAACTGCTATGGAGGAATCTTCGTCAAACTTTGGTCAAACCAAGTGAATATAGGAACAATAATCCTTATAATTAGATTGCATTAGTACTATTTCATAGTTCCACAGGTACAAAGCCAAAATTTGACAAGAGGAACATAGTTAAAAACATTACTTTGATTAATACGGTAAAGCCAGCAAATGCTAAAACCATGTTAATTATTACCAGAAGTTCAAGCTAAAAACATAACTCTTTTAACAGACGGTTCCAACAAGACTTGAAAAGACCTCTGCATTATAATTCTATAATACATTGATCGTTGAACGCATAAATCTCCTCAAGGGTTCTCTAAGGAGTTGAAAAGCTAAACATGGCAGATCTAAAGCACCCAACAGAATTCTCTTCGATCTCGATGATTGTTCCAAAAGACTATATGATGTTTGAGTAGAATTAATTCTTCGAGGTAAGCTGCCTCAAGTTATACTTGGACAATTCCTTGTACTTTTCAACAACTCCAAGCAAGCATACAGTCTGCAAAATATGAAGAAAACATCGATCAGATAAGTCATTTTTCTTTAACATTTCAACCAGAAGTAATGGACATCAAGGGTGTAAAGAACTAATTATTAGGAGTAGTTTTTTCTCTAATGATATATCCAATTATCTCCTATCAAAGATTCTTGATACGATTCAATCTCAACATCATTGTTGAATTTAAACCTTGCGAATAGGTTCCGCATGTGCATCAGGATAGATGAACAGATAAAACACCTAATTAATGATATATAATGCTATTGCTGGAAAGTAAATTATACTCTTCTTTCCATCTGAATGGCTATAGTAATGCCTTTTGCTGGCTTCATCAACGACGCCATTACAGGGTAGGAAGATGGCTAGTATGCCTTCAACACACTGCCCCAAGTCATGGACTATACGGACCTACGAAGAGAATATAATCTAGCTTTCATGGCACAACATTCGTTTGCACATAGTAAAGCTAAACTCTCATGGGGGATTTACTGGGAGTATTAGACACTCCTTTGACAGTTTATTCTTCCTTGGTGTTAGCTGACTAGTAGAGTATCTAATGCTGAATGCTTTGCATATATCAACGAAAAGAGAAAATAGGAGTAGTACAGCCAGGGCCAAAAGAACCGAGTTGTTTGTACGGTAGAGAAATGCAAAAAAAACTATAGAACACATTTATAAGCAAAGATGTGTACCTTGACTATCTGAACCACTATGTTTATCTCAGGGTTGCTAAGATCAACTTTGTGAGGTGAAGGAACAGATTTAGCCACTGTATCAATGATTTTCATCTTATTAATTCCAGTATTTGCTCGAGCTTCATAAAGCACTGCAAACTGTGAGAGAATATTGATTAGGCTAGAGATTTGATTCTCTTCCAAAAATATGAGTTGACTGCAACATAAATGCAGTTCACAAAACATAATATCATCCTATTTTCACATCTCTGACACTTGAGTCAACAAAAGTTACAGATAATTATATTTCATAAAAATATATTGAAACCAAAGCATGTCCAAAGAGAAGTGGATATCATGTAGCTAAAAGATCCTGGATCAATTAAGTGCAAGGCCTCTTGCAAATGCAGAATACATCCACAAAAGTGATTGTTAAGTTTCACTATCATTTCTAGCTATACATTCAAACATTAGAAAGGTTTCGATGACATTCCAAGAGAAGAGGCTTCATAGTGGAAACAATGGCCTAGGAAGTATGAATATGACCTTTTTTGGAGTGTCAGTTTCAGCAGGTAAGTACTGTTCAACAAGAGGCTTTATTGCTCTTCCAATTTCCTCCTCTGATGCATAACATGTTACTTCAATTGGTAACACTCTCAATATGAACCTGTTGAAGGCTATGACATTCTTGAGCAAGAGATATTAAACAAAGTAACCTGCCTCACATAAAGTGAACATATTTATAGAGCTGTCTAGGAATAAATTTTAGCAGATAAAAGAACCTTGATACGTGTCTCTTCATCGAGGCAAGAGAGGACATCATATGTTGAATGATTTCCTTAGGGTTGGGATCTCCATCTTTCTTGCGCATTTGAACAAAAACAACACCATTGCAACCTGAGTCGAGGTAGTTAAAACGCCTCTGTTTTAAGAAAGAAAGCAATGTATTACGAAAATATTTCCAGAAACAAGTAAGAAGAACTACATTGAACCAAACAATTTGTTAACCGGTTCACAAAGTTATCCGCTAGAGTTGGTGCTTTTTGATTAACTCAAATGAGAAGCAACAGACAAAAGCACATTTGTACAAAAGTTAAAAGTACAATAGTATTCAGACAGAGAGTATCTTATACCAGTATATAGACCTATGTCAACCACACATTCAAAGGGGAGGAAAACAATCTCACCCTTTCGGTGTGAGATTATTAAGACATTTCGTTCCATTGTGCTCAAATAGAAATGGCCCTAACAAACATCTATCATGGATGAGCAGGAGACATGCAACATAGATACTTGTTCACACATAAAATTAGCCATGAGTAATATACTTACCTAGCACAGGAACTAAAGTAGTAGCTTACGTGAAAAAAATAGAAATAATTACATCTAGTTACCTTACTTTTGTCTCCCAACTCAGCAAGCTCAGCTTCAATTAGTTTATCAACAGATTTCTCCTCTGTCTTACCAACAACAATATTTCCAGCTTTTGGTGCTTCTCTTTCCACACATTGTTTCTTTGAGGGTGGCTCCCCCACTTCACTATCTTTCTGTTTATGAGTTGTCTCTAGCTCCTCTTTCTTATCAGCATTTCCTTGTATTAGCTCATCGGCAGAGGTGTTGTCCTTGTTTTCAGGCCCTGATCCACCATTTTTCAAGCTGCCTATTTCTTCATCAGTTTTCTCCTGATTCTGCTCAATTTTTGATGTCTCCTCCTTGGTCTGGTTCTCATCATTTCCTTTGTCTTCATCACCTTCACCACCATCATCATCATCACTACTAGATGAATCAGAATATGTGAAAACAATCTTTTTGTTTTTAGGTTCTTCTGATAATTCTCCATGTCCTAAACTTGAACCTGTCCCCTGTACCAGCTCATCGTAAAACTGCACAAAAGGGAAAAAAATCATGGGTCGCGCCTACGACAACCTACATAAACCGAACAAAGAAAGAAGGCGGCGGATGCTTTCTATTGTTTTGTCCTTCTCCACGAATCAAGATATGAGGCAAGCTTCGAATCTGAACAAAGGCTCAAAAAGTCATACTGGAGGCCAAAGATATTTTGAAACAAATTCTTTTACAGTTTTTAATTTTCAAATAACAAGTATCCCTTTTTGACATTCTTTAGATAACAGGAAAAATATCTACTACTTGGAAATAGGTTTGTCTTGTTATTATGCTGGTTTTGAACCTATTGCTTTTCGAGGAGTTTTTTGACCTTATCATAGATTCATAACCAGTAAAAATATAAGGAACTTTTAATATTATTATTATTATCATTACTATTATTTATATATATTTAACTTATTTTTCACTTTTTATTTTTATTTGGTATGATAATGACATGAGTTGAGCTTAAAATAGAGAAACAAGGCCAGGGCGGTGGATTCATATAGTCGACCAGATTGTTTTTGGAATTGAGGCGTAGTAAATATTGTTAGATAACAGGTAAAGCATAAGGATCAGAAGTCTCATGAAAAAAAAAATCTAGTTCACAAGTGCGCTTTCTAAACTCTTCACAGACTACCTTATGAGCTTGTCCTTTCTGGTGTTCGACATAAGAATTTGTCTTACTAACAGACATTGAACCCTTGCAACAAACTGAAGTCCAAAATAAAAGAAGTAATCATCGTTACACAATAACTAACTTTTTCCGTTCTTTCTCAGTCTAGCTTCATAGTTAGAACTAAAAGAAATATTTGCAGAGAGTAATTTCTAATCGGATGTACGAACGACCAAATGTCTGGATCAATGCAGTTACTCGTACTTTGTCAATAAAGGAGGTAAGTGTGGTGTTCATTCAAAGAAAATACCAACTTCTAATATTCTACTGACGTTTCGAAAATATCAAAACTTCATTTCTTTTAAAAAAAATATAAATTACTATGTCTCAATTATATGCAAAAATTAGTAAAATTAACCCTCATAAGCAAAACAAAAAAAGAAAGTTTAGCTAGCCAAAATGCAGAAATGAATATCTTCACACACATAAACAGTAACTTGAAGATAATTATAAAAAATAGAAACTTTTTGGGATTTTGAAACATACAGAGTCAATAACATTAACAGCTTCTTGAGAGGCTTGTCTTTCTCTTCCACCATCACATGTTATATAAAACCCTTGTACTCCTGGCCTTAAAGGGTATCCACCTTTCTTCACTGTTTTCTATTTTATGCACAAAAACCCATAATTAATCACCAATTTAAAAATAAAAAAAAATAAAAAAGCACTTAGCTCCCGCGCATAGGGTGAGGAGGAGGGCCGGACCCACAAGTGTCTATTGTACGCAGCGCTACACCTCATAATTAATCACCAATTAACCTTTTAAAAAAATTACAGCACTGTAATACGTATATATATACATGTGTTTTACATCTATAAAGATAGAAAAAGACAAGGAGTATAAAGGGGTTACATTGTTGGGACGATAACGTTGCTTGTTCTTTGTTTTGTTGGTAGCTTTCGGCCTTGATTTGTTGTCTGTAGCCATTGAAGAGAAGGAGAGAGTTAAAACAGTGACTGCAGGAGAAAAGAGAGTGACTTTTGAGAAAAATATCATATGAGGTTTTAAGAATTTTATTTAGAGATGAAATGGGCCTAAGCCCATCAAAAGATAAAGGCCCAATTAATGTTTTGAACTCAACATTAGCTCAAACTAAGCCCATCAAAAGATAAAAGCCCAAATAATATTTTGAATATAAGTTAGCCCAAAGGTAGACCACTTGGCATATTGGCTTCTCTCCCACTTTGTCTTCTTTTTTTTTTTGTCCTGACCAATGGTGATGACCCCAACCTAGCTTGAAATTGAGGTATAGTTATCGATAAAATGATCGTGTCTGGATTAAATTGTGCGCACGTTGATTGTGACATTGGTTACCTAATAAAAGAGATTAGCATTTTGATAGATCGATTGATTGGATCGAAGTACGAAGGGGTTGATTAAAGTTTGAGATTAGCCCAAGACTAAGGTCGAGCAACTAGCTTCTACAGAATTGGACGTCTATCTATCTCACCACGCTCTCTTACTCCTATAAAGGCCGGTAGAAGGAATGCTGCTCATCTTTCTTACGGCTCGGTACTGTATCGGTATCGATACCGGCAGGGCGAATGTAGAATTGACAATATGAGTTTGAGAGTAGCTTTGTATATGTCACAAAAATTGATTTAATATGTATAATTATTAATTTAGAACTCAATAATTTAAAAAGGTTAGAATCCAGAACTCATAAACTTCAAGATCCTGAATCCGCCTCTAGATACATGGTATTACCTTTCTTTTTTACGTCTCTCATGATCTAATTTAAGCTTGCTGTGACAATTTAAGGAAAAGAAGAAAAGTGAAGGTTTAGGCAAAAGATTTTCCTTTTATTTCCTATTTCTATTTTAGATTTTTGTTGTTAATTTTGCTTCTATGCAATTTGGAAGAAAAATTTAATTCATTTAATTATTTTTAACGATAGCGAAAACATGGGCAGAAAATATACAGTGCTTATTTCTTTTCCCTTCTTTCCACAAGTAATTGTTTCCATATTTCCTTTGATTTTTTAACTGGTACTTTACAAAATAAATTATCAATCACAGTTTATTCAGTAATCATTATACAGATGGTAATTACTTCCGATTAGATCAATATGCTTCCTTCAATGAAAGGACGACTTTACAGGCCTGTCAGTAATTTCACAAATATACTTGGGGTGAAATTCAGAAATAATCAGATTTACAAGTGATAATTAAAAAATAATCACAGTTTCAAAAGTAATCGAAATTTATCTATTTTTCATGTAAAGATAAATTGAACGAAAACATTGTTCAAAATCCTGAAAATATTCCAGCATAATATACTGAAATTCAAATTTTTTACATGTGAACTTCCAGCATAATATATTGGAGTTCCAGTATATGTGTTGAAGTTCCAGCATAATGTGCTGGATTCCGGCATAATATGTTGGAAGTTCATACACAGGTGCACCAATCTCCAGTATATTATGCTGAAACTTTCAGCGTTGCAGCAAAATAATAGCTATTTTTCAATGACTTTGCAAACACTGACTATTTTTCAATTACCAGTCCGAAAACCGACTAATTCTTGTTATTTTTACGGGTTAATCACTTTTAACCCGCGCCACAAACCATTTACATTTGGTAGCCTA